CAGTCTCGGCTGAGATCTCGTTTACCTCTTCCGTATCTAGTATTTTTGAGGAACCACCACCCATTTAGAGGACAGCAACATCAATAAACATGATACTCCACAAAACACCACCCACAAGAACCCTCCGCTGCTGAACTCACAACTTAAAACAAGGCAAGAAGATGCGACAGGCTGAAGCAACCCTGACCAATTCGTTGAGTTATTTTCTTCCACCTAATTTTATACTATGCAACTATAAGGTAACTGATATGAATGACGAGATGGAGCATGTGGTCGAATAAATGATCCTGAAGATTACATCTTTTCAGTAGAAATATAGGTTTAAAATGATCTGATGATTAATTAGATAATATTAGGTTTATAGGTATCAACTAATGGAAATAAGTATGAGCAGTAATTAATTTTTCCATCGAGTCGTCAGGTAATTGAAAGCGGAATTTTATTTAACTGATCTAAGAATCAGGCCAAGTTTCTGGATGATTTGAACTTGAGCGCAGCGTAGGCATTCCTCATTTTTAATTTTTGACTAACTTTAAAGGGCAATAACAGTAAAAAACGAACTTTCTCGGGCAATGTAGTCAGGAGTTTATCACTCAATTTTAGTACATGAATTTTAGTTTCGATTTCGTGCTCCGTTGATTTGCCACGACATTTGAAGCTTGATTTTGTTTAATTAGAACGATTCAGGATGGCAGTAGTCCATGTTTATGCAACTGATGGTTGTCAAAATAAATATAGTTTAGTGTAATATAATAAGTTTTTTTGATTGTCAAGCTTAAAAGCCATAAATTCGATATATGTGACCGAATACTCACAGTTCATTTGAAAAGTTCTTCAGCGATATTGCATCTATTAAATGGAAGCAATATTAATTTAAATCGTGTATATTCGTGATGTTTTGAATGCTTTGTTATATTTACGCAGCCCTAAAATTAGACTCTCTTGTAAAAAACGATTCATTTTAGTCGGTATTTGAATAGCCTCGCAATCTGAACCTTGAGGGCTGCAGTATGTGTTATCGATTCCGAACTCATTATTCATGGTCACTTACATGACGGGCTGAGTGTTTTAGTTGCCTATGTATTTAAAGTAGCACGAAGCAATTGTGTCTTCTGGCTTTTTAAAACTGAAAATTCTGTACGCTCATTGATTTCAGTTTTCTTGAGAATGGATTTTTTGGTCATATTATTGACGACTACGTCTCTAGCGAAAGGAACAGACTAGCTTTTGACTACATCGTTTGCTTGGTTATAAAGAAGGATCGCGATTTTCGATAAGAAGCTTTTCTGATGCCGGTTTATGTTTTAATGTGTCTTGGTTAGATACACGTTAGGCATCAAATTGATGTTGCGATGAGTCACATCGTCGACTATCAATTTCTTTATTTCTATGAATGTATAATTTCAACAAAATTTATTAAGTTTACTGCCTGACCAGTGAATTTTCACAGAACTGTTAATATAGAACTTGCGATGTTGGTCTGCTGTATTTCAATTTCTTTTCAACGCAATTCTGACGTCTACGCTTCAGTAGTAGAAATAAATTCGTATATGTTAACTGAAAGGTTAATTAACGAATCACGCGCCCTATTTTTTGGTATTTGTTAACATGCGAAGGTAATGCCCGGACAAGAACACGTAATTGCTTGTCTGGTTTCTGATTTGAAGCAGGTAAGGACTGCGGTAAAGTAGTATTGGCTTCCTGGGAGGTATTATTGCCTACTTCAATTTTCTTAATAATTCTGGACTTGTAATACCCACTTAACACTAATCACCGCGTTGGATTTGTGGAAATCACCACGATGCCAGCAGTACACCACATTTACATAAATTCTGCTGGCTGATTCTATATTGTCTACCCGTAGTTTTACCAGGTTCTTTGGCTCCTAGCCCTTTAGTAGCCAGAAATATCATTTTAACTAAATAGAAACCCTTTAAACATCCGGTATAGCCACGTTGATCTGACAAGGCTTTGTCCAGAAAGCAAAAATACGAGCACCATCCGCGAAATATGCTTAGTTGGTCCACGCATAAGGTTAACTCCGAAAAAAGGCTCAAATTTCCCCCATCATTCTTAACAAGGTTTTTAATTTTCTTCTGGGGTTATTTTAGTTCCACTCTCCATTAATATTCTGTGTAATTTGTATATAAAACTAAAAGTAGAGCTTATTTGTAGAAAATGCGAAGGGACTTTCACCTCATTTAAATTAATTATTTTTCTACTTATTTCTGCGAGTAAACGTTATATCGGACTTGCCACGGGATTTTCTGTCTCACATAGCATTGATTTCTCACTTAGAGCGGCTGAAAAGCGATGGAAGGTGCCAATACAAACATAAATGCAATGCCTTCCATCGAAGATACCTCGTTTGTGTCCAAAGGTTCGAAATCCTTTGGTGGAGCTGGAATCGCACTGAGCAGAGAAAAACTCGCTGATTCTGACCGCCGTCTATTAGAAAAGCGGAAGCAATTTCAAGTATGCACTTTGTTATTTATCTCAAATTAAATTAACCTAGAATGTTTTTGTCGATGGTCAGAAATAGGATAATTTTTTCCCTCATGTTTCTGCCTTTTTTCCCGTAGACCCAGATTGCTGAGAGTAAAAAGAAACGCGAAGACCTTATGTCCAGGCAGGAGAACTTACTTTACCAAATGATGCGTTTTGACGGCTTCATTCGCGACAATGAGGCAAAGCGTGTTCGAGCCGTTTCCAAGTACCTTACGGAAAGACGTATGATTGAGGAGAAAACGGAGGAGGGTGCTAGGCTAAGGGTGGAATTTGGAAAAGCTAAACTTGCGTAAGGTGAGAATGGTTGTAAAGGCACATAATTCTTCCGACATACTTTTTTTTTCTTTCTTCTAGTCCTTCACTCTAAAAAGTTGTGGTATTTATGGGTGGATGGATTCCACGCCGCCCCAGTTCTCGTTCATCTGTTGTCACGAAGTTATAATCAGTTATAATCAGTGGGTGATTTTCAGTCTCTTGTGTTGCTTGTGATTTGGAAGTTTTTTTTTTAACAAAAAAAACGTGTGCAAAACATTCACGAAAACGTTTCAAGTAAAGTCATTCTCGAGCCTTTTGCGTGAGCCACTGGTGTTCTAAAAATGGTTGGGAGCATTCGAATTTTTATTACATCACATAAAGCTCTTCTGATTTAGTCAATTCGAGTACACTTTTTTAAACACGCGTAACCGCCGAAGACCACGCGATCTTGAGAAAAGTGTAGATTTTATTAACTAGCCAGTCAGGTTAGCAACTGAAAATTTTCCAGTCTGATTGAATATTGAACCAAGGAAACAGTGCTCACCGGGTCAAACTTTGTGTAAAACAACCTCCAACCATTAATGAGGGCAACAACGGATCTGTTTAAGTGTTTTTTCTTCAGTTTTCAGACGTGTGCTGATGAAGGTTAGAGAGTGAAAAATCTCCCGAAGTCCAGAATTTCTCAACCGCGCAGATTAAAGACCATCCATTGTCGTCTGCAATCGGATAAGTTAGCACTGTTTCATGCAATAGCGCAAGATTGGTCCGAACCCTCTTCTCACGTGACACCTCGTTTTACGCAGTCTTGCATCCACACATGCCACCTAGGCTACGAGCAAAATGCATTCTGACACAGACCAGGTATGGAGCCACTTTAAAGAGAACGTGTGAAAGCACGACGAGTGCGGTAGCAGTTTTGAAGGCCTTCCAAATGACGCAAACACTCTAACGTTTGAGTGTCGACTGTATTGAGCGATCCAAGTTTCTGGGGACTGAGCTGGTTCTTGTTTCAAGATGAAGTCCTAGTCAAACTGACAATTTTTTGTGAGTGAAAATACGTGGGGCACTGTCCATTGGAAACCATTTTGTGAAATGAGCATAAATAAGCCAAAAGTAATTAAGGATGCAAAACTCCTAAACGACTTCAGCGTTCCCTCTACATCCACGATCTTGTTGCTATGGCACACGGTAATCTTAATTTAACCATGTATTCCGTAACATATTTATTTATTTAACTACTATGTTTATTGATTATTTTGTTTCAACCTTTAGTAGGACTCACTAATGTCTAAGTTGAATCATTGGGATTTCAAAAGTATCGGCTTATTGAATAGGATAGTGATGGAATACCCCTGTTTATCCGGATCCCTATTCTTATTTTAAGCACCGTAAATTTATTAGCTAGTGTAGTCTTGAATGTATCTCCGTAAAATTAAGTCACTCCCTGAGAAACAACATGTTTGTTTCGAATTCGTAGCTACGAACAGATGAGAAATAAGGTCGAGGAATACAAGAAGTACGAGGCATACCTCATGAGGGTTATTGATCTTCTGCCTCCAGGTAAATTAAATGAATGCTGTTGTGTAGAATTCTGGCACGTTCTTTGAAGTTAAACATACTCGATTTATCTGTGTTCTATGGCGTTTTTCCACCCTATTTAACTAAAGCATACAACTTTACAGTTGGCTGCATTTTGCGATGAGTATTACTAAAAGCTGAACCTGAGTCATGTTTTTTGATCTTTTCCTTTAGCTAGAGAGCCATGCTAAATATATGGAACCGGTACTGTTTGAAGTGATTAGTTTTAATACCACTGCAATACCTACATTGTACACTTTATTTGTCTTTATAAGTTTAGAACGAAGCGTGATTTCCAGTGGCTCTGAGCTCTGCTTGGATATTGCTAACGTGTTAACCTGTTAATATGCGCCTTCGACATTTTAGCACGTGGTGCATTCTTCAGTATAAACTTGCAGAACTAGTATGTGGGGTTTTAAAATGGAGTGGGGGCTATGGTAGGAATTCGCAAATGAATAAATCCAACAATGGCGAAGTATTAATTAAATTCACCTGGGCTCGAAAATGCGAAATAACTAGTTGTATGGTATGGTCTCGAATCTCCCTTGGTTCTTTTGTGACGACCTTCAGATTTAATCAAATTAGTTTTATTATCTGAAGTAAGTCCTCAAAGCCATTAAAAGTGGGGTTGCGAAATAGCAGCGCTGAGTATATTTCGCAACGGATTAAATAAAAGGGGAAAAGCTGACAGAGCTTCAACTTAGTCCAGTGTAAAGTGAGGTATAGTTTAGGTCCAATATTTTGTGGTTACCGTCTTTACTAATAGCTTTTGTGATCTAGACTACATAAAAATCGCCGACAACGTACTTGGTGGCCTTATAGTGCGATACAACACTCTTTACACAACAAACCAATCTCTCCTGTCTGAAATGAATAAGAAGTCCGAAAGTGTACGTTTCAAAAGTTCCGTTTGTAATCTAATCCACGGTGTTTGAATTTTCTTTTTCCAAATGTACAAGTCTAGCTGGAAGATCCAACAAACGTTGTCTGACTGTTCATTTTCATCCTGTCGATTGGTTCTAGCTGAGACATCACTCAGTGGCGTGGGGCTAATTGTCGCGTAATGATGTTCGCAGCCGTCGTCGCGACCTTGATTGGGCTGGAGAATTTTGTACCTGCCATCCGAAGGGCTTGTACCCCTGAGAGTTTATGATTTCTCGAATTCAAATTGAATTTCTTAAGGGAGCCGGTCCGCTTTATTCGATATCCTGATTGCGAAGTAAATCGTCTGTGGAAAAATGAAAAGGAGGTGAAGAGGTCAAATAACCCGCGTATTTTTCAAGTCACATAACATCCTCCTATGTTCGAAGAAATTATCGTATCTGTCAGAAATGCTGAGGAGCAACGTCGAATTCATTGAATGAATCCAAAGCGCCGCTTCCAAACATCTAGCCCTATCCTGAAATCGGATGTACTTAAGTGTCGTTTTCTTGATTCGAGAAGACTCCTGGCATTTGAACATTTATTGTCGAGTAGCTATAGTTTGGCCTTTTGACTGCAACGCTACAACTCACCCATTGGCTTTCATTCGTTTACTTAATTTCTGCCTGTTTTTCATAAGTTTTGCCCACCAACACTGTAAAAATGCCCCATGTGAGTGGACAAACGAGACTTCATTATCCTTGGTCTAGCTGCTACACTCACATTGCATCAACTTTGGTAAGCCTTGTGAAGAGCAATTCGCAAACGATTAACTCAAGTTGATGCACGGCAGATGACGTGTTCGGGCTTTCTGTAAAAAATCGATTTCGAAGATTGCTACGTATTACTGACAAAGTAGTATGCATATTCGCTAAATGAAACTCGAATCGAATTTTCATATTTCCAACAAATGCATGGTATTTCAAAAAATATTCGCGTTTGTGTCCCCTTTTTTATTCCCCTCCGGATACGGGTTACGTGTTTGAAGTTTCGAAATTGTGGATACATTAAGTCATTACGTCGAATATATTCCAAAGTCGTAGTTCACTTAAACAAGGATCCACGAACTAGGACCTCCACACTTCCATCATCACCTGCGGATGTGTCAAGTGATCATAAGAGATGAATTTGCATACTAATCCAGTCATGAGCAGACAAAGCAACGTTTTGTAAAGTAGTGTTTTCGCATCATCACATTCACCCATCAGCTTAATCTGGCTGCCGGGTCACAGCACCCACTAAATATATCCGATGAGCTCTCTGGTCCGGTCGGGCTAAATCTGATTGACACATCGAAATAAAGTGACGCTTAATGCTGGACAAAATCCTTTGCCACATTCTGAACAACACGGTATAATTGAACTAAGGACTAAGTGTCATTTTTATTAAGATTCGAGAGGCAAACGCCCAGCTACAGTCTCTGCGTGAGGAACACTGCAGCCGCATCCTCACACTCAATTCTAAATTAGCCGACCTTTATGGTGAAAGGGACCGTAACAATGAGCAACGTCAACGGCTCATGCAACGATTCTATCAGAACCACAAGGAACTCAGAAATCAGGTAGGCTAGGTCTAGACTTGAATAAATTTTGACTTCTTACTAAAAGGTCTTTCAGAATGGACCGGTCGGCTTTAATAAAACGAGCAACAAAAAATATAAAGCATAGTCTGATATTTCAGATATGGAAAATCCCTTACCGTAATGAAACATTTTAATGAACTTACATGACGTAAGTTAACACCTTTGGTGCTAAACTCCTATAACCAGAGCAACGGATGTGGCTCCGTTGATCTTGACATAAGTTGAAATTTAAAAGGGGGGAAAGAGGACATGCTGTTCATTTGTAATCTCGATGCTGTGGGATGGTGCACTCGCGTACGCGAGAGAGAGAGAGTAGATGTCATCAGAATGGGTGTTTTATTAAGGGTGACACCATGCAATGGGCGAATTTTCAGGTAGGGTTGATGCTTTCTTGTTGCCTCTGGAACTCTTCAACGTTGTTTGGGGTTCTTGTGCCTGTGGCAGAATTCCCCGACGTCTAAACACTGATTGAGAAAGATGTTGCGTTAGGCTCTAACGCATTGAGCCTGTCATTTCTTCCGTATGCTGCGATTCTACCAGATTATTTTTGGCAAATAAATTATGTTTGGGGCACTATTTTTCTGTTAGCATTTCCAGTTATAAATCGTTACATCGCCGATATTGGTGGCTAGCAATACTAACAATTATTTACCAGTATGTTTTATTATTGTTATTAGTTGTTTTCAGCAAACACGTCTTTGTCCTTGTGTCTACCTTCATTGGTATTTGATGAGATAAATGCGGGTGTTTTTGGCTATTCATAATCGCAGTTCAAGCGGTGGTATATGAATTGGAGTGACTTCTTGCATTTATTGGCTAAATTAAAACCCTACTTTTAGAGCCCAAATTTTCTTTTGGTTTAAAGTCAAAGTCGGGTTATTTGAGGAGAATTTTGTCAAAATCAAATTCTAATTCTTTTTAGCTGGAACAATTTGGAACCGTGATTCGTTCCATTGATAACCTCGTAGATAAATGTGGTTGGCCCTATACAGCAGCCGTTGGCGAGAAAGAATCCTTGCGTACAAAGCTAGTGCGCATAACAGTAAGAGCTTTCTAAAGCTTGTTCTTTGCTCTAGCTAAATCAATTGCCTACACCTCTATTTTACTACGATTAAAAGCCATGTTTGGTCACGTTAGACCAAGAGGCCAGCGAAGGAGAGGCATCTAGGGTATTTGTTTTGATCATGTCTTGTCCTCTTGAGATAAATTTTTAGTTCGTAGAAGTAACTGCAATTAGGGTAAGACATTCGCATATACCAGAAATGTCCACTTTTCCACATGCCCGAGAATGTATGTAGGATTGCTGCTGCACTGTTTTGCGGCTCACACAAACCATCTAATAAATCGAATTCAACAAAACATGAGCCCACATCTTTGGTCCTTAATGTGTGCTGTACGCGCAATTCAGTAGTAATTTCGTGATTCACCCGGTTATCGCGCCTCACAATTTCAGTATCTTGAGTGCTCTTGTGATCTATCCCTCACATGGATGCAGGCGCGTGTGAGGGCTCGAGTAGGACCACTCCTCTAAGCGAAAACTGACTTGATCGAACTCCGACCGGCACCCTACCGCAATATCGACATTCATAGCCAGAATAGAATCAGTAGATAATGTGTTGGACGGGACAGGGTTGCCATAAATCATCTTGAAAAGCGACCAAGGCGGTGTCTGTTGGTTTTTCTCAAATGAGTCGCCTCACCCTCCAAAATAATGGGGCCTGCGTCACAGTCCGTTCGTCTTCAACCCTGTCGATTTTGGAGTTGCTTCATATTTGGTTATTAGTAACAAAGATCGAGGATTTTTTCTGTTTCGTCTGCGCGCCAGTCTTTTCTAATCAGTATTCCCTGGTAATCTATAACCCGCTAAGAGATGCGTCTGCCACATTTGCACAGAAGAGAAGAGATTGTTGCGGAGTAGGAAGAATGTATTTCGAACTCCATTGTCGTGAGGAGACAGAATATAAAGTAAATCAGAGATAAGGTCTGTAAGCTGGAAGACAAATTGGTGTATATGCCTGAAAACACCTTGTTAGCAGAAGTAGAAGGCCCTTCTGACCTTTGAAATGTGGAATCAAACAAATATACACCACGTTGCCGCTTTAACGTGGTGCTAGACCTAAGCTATTTAAGTGTGCTCTGGCTGCGTTAGTACATTGATGATATTTCCAAATTTCAGGACACAGTTTTCGATTTACAGGCATTGTTCTGCACCTGGATTTAGAGGGGCCTTAACTAGTCAAGTGACGTCGGCAGTAAGCAGTAAAGAGTTTAAGAACTTTGCGTATCACGTAATCAGTATAGCTTGTTTGCAATGACTTATGGCTGCGGATAGACTTGAGCATAGTTGGACTCTGAAAACGATAAACTAGTCTTGAAATTTTGTTTCGGTGAAAATAATTAATTCCAGAAATACACAAACTGAGACATCATGATAATTAGGGAACGCTCCACAAATAGAGCAATTACCATCGCCAAGGCCACTCATTTAATTTTACTGGAATTTTGTTGTTCTGAAAGAATCCAGGACCTTATAATCCGTAATTTAAGTCATAAAAAATCTTCATGTGGACGAATTCTCTTGAGTCAATTAGCGAATAGCTAACAGTGCATTATACTTATTTTTAATTATCTTTCAAGCACGTGAGAGAAGTGAGTTCGATAATTTAGCGTTGAAGTGTTCATCATTAGCAAATGGCCAATAATCCTTGTGTTGCTGTATTCTACGCGCACTTCTTCAAACGTGAAGTCGTCAGATTTGCGGATGGCCCAAGTTTGACAAAGAACCTTGTAGACAAGACTCCAGGTTGCGAGAAACTCGATTGCGTAGTGCCTCAGTTTGGGGTGCACATAGCCAGCCGCCTTGGCCTGCGTTCCATTGACATCTCAGTTGGTCCTGGTTTCAGCTTTAGTTGTTAACTTAGGCTAGCACACATCCCAGAATTCGAGACCGTAATCAAGGCCTAGAATGTGGCTGGCTTATTGGAGCCCTTTTCGGTGACCGTTTCGAGGCATAATTTTCATTCTGGTTCTCAAAAACCACACCGTCACTGGTTCAACATCTTATATTGATGCTGTGTGTCAGCCAAATAAATTTTAAGCAAGAGACGTCCGTTCCACAGAAGACAACTGGGCGCATGTTCTTTGAATGGAATCAAAATTTTGCGGTTCGTGCAGCCTACTTGATGCCAAGACTACGCGCGAAATCGGTTAATGAAATGTGATGCTAGGATCTTGTTGACGCTTGGCTAATCTAGAGGACGCAAATTGTGCTCTGTTTGTTTACGCCAACAGTGGTCTACCGCTGATTCTTATTTATGCCAGTGGTCATGGTCACCAAAAAATGGGTGCTCGACCTTGACACAGTAAAATCCAAAATATCTCCGAAATCAGGACACTAGAAACGCTTGGTTACTGTGTATAGGTCCTTGATGATAACAAAATTTGGTATGTGAAATGTTCCTCTTCTCTTGATTCACGACAGATGATGGCACTATGCCATTGACATAATGAAATGTGGTGAGTTCACAGATGTTCTAGAATCAATCACTTTTTTGATGCAGGAAGGACTTTAGACTTAACTTATTTCAGCGTAGTAGCTGAATCACTCAAATTAATCTGTTCGCATCTCGTTTTAAAGCTCACTTCAAGTAACTTGGTAGACCTTCCTTTTTAGGATGTTCAATGTGTTTTTCCTTCTATGTGTGGTAGTTTACAGGACAAATTGGTTGGGACTCGAGTGTATTTGTGACCGCTTGTTTGATCCTCAAGCCCCAAAGTTGTTTGATGGGATCGGATGCTTTCTTTGGTAAACATTCACAATCGTCTCGAGCATAGATTAATTTGGGCGTTAGGCTCTAACGCACGGAGCCTGTCATTTTTTCCATATGCTGAGATTCGACGAGATTATTTTTGGCAGGCAAATTGAGTTTGAGGCACTAGTTTCCTGTGAACATTTCTAATTATAAATCATTGCATCGCCATTATTGATGATTAGCAATATTAACCGTTTTGTATTTTGCTTGTGTGGGTGGCAGAATGTGCGATAATGATTCGTCACGATTCCTTCCTTGATAATGTGTTGGTGTGTTAAATCACGTGTAAACTGATCACGATCTGCTGCCTCTTCCTGAATGCATGTTTCGCATTCTACAACGCCATGAAATATTTTGAATGAAACCAGATGTGATCTGCATTTGAATTGCAAATGTAGCTGAACGTAGGCTCACTAACAAGAATAATTACTGTGTTGGGTTAGAAGCAAACTAGGCTCTGCTTTTGTTAAAGTGATTTGTTCGACAACCATCATGTGGTTTGAGTTTCCCACAGGCTGTTTCATGTCTACATCAAATGTGCGAGTAGACCCCTTGGTAATTTGTTTTCAGCGTCGTCTGTTTTTGTTAGATTGTGGCTAACTCGGAGTAAGTACATCCACCTGCAGTTACTCAAATCGGAAGAGGTAGATGATACCGAGAGGTGACAAATTACTCGATGGGAAGCAGAGTGTTGGTGCAGGACACTTTCCTCCGTTTTGAAAGGGATTGAGGGTCCTGTTGAACATTAAACGCGCAGAACATGCAATATAAACAGTGATTAGTTTGCGTGAATAGGATGCACTCTCTGCTAACTCGGAACTCTTAATTTGTACCACAACAGTCCCGTTGTTTATAAAACGCAAAACGACGCCAGCTAAATTGCGTGAACGCACTAGTTAATCAGTTCATTCGGCAAGTTTTTTTTTTAAAAAACGGTTTTGGCTGTATGAATCCTTTGCGAGATTTGCCAAACGATATCCCTGCAGAAATAATAATGACTGGTGAGTGAACAGCCGATGTAGCTGCACAAATTCAGGAAAAGGGTTTAGCTGAGGAGAGACGACTTAGGCTTTCGCTCGCCAAGTTCACGGTACCAAGTTGGACTGTCGCAGGCACGATTGGTGTGATTCAGGCTGTCTTCGAGTTCTGCATTTCCATAAGCGATTCAACCAGCCAACGAGAAGCGCTCAAAAAAGACAGAAATGTCAGCCTTGTTACAGTGCAAATTTCCGACAAGATTATTCGCACGTCCTGTTTTCAAACCATTCAACTAATGCCTAGCACTACCGCACTCAAGCCCTCATCAGTCTCCAGGCGCCAACTCCGCCCAACCAAGAGCACATCCAATTTGATTTCCACGTTTATTCCCCAACTTATCCTAGGAGGCTAAGTTAACGGAAGATCCTTCGTCTTTTCCTCGGCGCTCAGTTTGTGACATTTCGGAAATGTAGACAAAAACAGCATCTCAGCATGGCTGAAAGTGTACACCCTTACCATTGACGTGACCTTGTGATTGATGTTCGTCTAATTTCAGGAATACATACTGACGCTGCGGAAGATTCTGTCAGCTCTCGGTTCAAACAGCAGCAAGGCTGAACGTAAGTAGCAAAAGAACTAGGGCTGAGTCCCTACA